TCCCACACGTCGAACAACTCACCGATGAATCCATCGAGGCAACAGCGATGACGTGCGAGCGCCGCCTGTTCTGATAACGATTCCTATCAGATGTCACCTTTCCACTAATGTCCCAATCAGCTTCGTTGGCCGGCATATTTCCAGTGTCTATTTGCAGGACCTCAGCAACCATACGCAAGTCCCAAACTTCACGACGCCGTCTGCATCAGCTGATGCCAAGTACATACCCTACCAAAAACGACATCATCGAACGACATTCAACAGTGCGTGCCAATTTGATATGCAAATTTCAAGCTGTGGTGGATATAGATGGAAGTTCTACAGTTGTCTCGACGTCGGCGTCCGTAGACCTTCCGATCTTCGAGATAATATGGCTACTCTATTGTGTGTATACCAGGGCCGTCTGTGTCACAGTGGAGGTCGTCGGTACGCGACGGTCATATACTCCCGGTTCACTGCGTACGATATTTCTCCTTCAATCAATTCAACATGAGACCCCATATCTCGTCGAGTAAGCAGTCACAAGTTGTGATAGCAAGATGGCATTGGAGGGCCTGAGGCTTCTGATGGGCGTTTCAGTTTATGTTTTGCGCTCCGATTTCATACTGATACAAAATCCGTCCGGGTCTGAAATTTCGTCGAGTGAGTATTACGAATTCTGAAGGTCCCAATTCTGTTGTTTCAATCATCAGTTCAACAATTAATGTTTTGCACGCGATGCTTTGGATTTGAATTTCTCAGAAACTCGAGCTCATTACGACAGTATTGGTACAATTTGCTTCGTAGAACTCTACAGACTATTGACCGTCGACGTATACAAAGGTTCAAAGTGATGAACTTGATGACAAAGTAGATACCACAATAGAGCTTTTGTAACCCTGATAATAACCACAACAATCACAATACCAACAGTCACAGTTGAAGCAGTTACGAACCGAGTCCGTTGCTTGACCGTTACGCGTTAAATTAGCGGCTAGTTCAACGCTAGGGGATAACAGAACACAGTTATGGAGACTAGGGACACACACAAAATGTGTGACACAATAACTTGTGTCAATTAACGCCTATGAATGCCGCTGCTGCTACATCATGTCCACACGGGTCATACGTCCTCAAATACAGCTGCAGATTTCTGATCAACTGGTACCAATTTCTGGTGTTTGACCAGTGATCTTTTTATATCAATGTTTGACACTCTTTATCAAATTCAAGACCCTAGCTTGCGCCGAGGGCTGGGTTGTGTATCAGTCTCGTAGACGTTTAGAGCAGTAGAGCTGTGGGCGAGTGAGAATATATTCCTTGTTGTCCGATACTGACTCCTCCTTCTTCTTCTTCTTCTTCTTCTTCTTCTTCTTCTTCTTTTGAGTACCAGGAAGCAGCACGGCCACGTGGGCCCTATAGCCGCCTCTGTTGCTCCCAATAAATAGTGAACAGACTGCCTCAGTGGTGCTCAATGGCGTTTTAACCGACCAGTAGCCTTTATAAACCGCTCCAGATGGAGAGCCAAAACCCTATCCTCCAGTAGGAGATCCCCGGATGGAGGAGGCCAGGAAATGCCGCGCAACTTCACGACATCAAAGAACTCGCGTCTATGCTGTGTCCAATTATCGCACCGGAATAGAAAGTGAGAGAAGTCCTCGTCTTCACCCGACTCGCAGAATGGGCATGACACAGTGCCATGATCAATTTTCGACCGTGAGTATCTCAACTGGTTGCGACCGCAGACGACTTCACGTATGGCATTGTAGCGCTCTAGACTGCGAAAGGCCCGCATCGCCGTAGCGGTGGGGACGAAGAATTTGAAGGAGCGGCCGAGTTCTTTCACGTCCTCTTCATACGTCAGCTGTCAGAACGGTTTGCGAGCCACTCAGATGCAGCACGAGGTAGGGCTGTCCGAGTTAATGGAACCGCCAATGGAGCCATGGTGCGACGCCACCCTCCAGACGTTCTTTAGCGTTTCATGTGATGAAACGCTGAATGAGAAGTTCAAGAAGTTCTGAACGCTGATGAACATGTCTGAATACTGGATACGACTGCAGTCGCATCCGCCTTGAGGTTGCCCTCACAGCCCTTAGACGGAGTGTACTGCAGCAGTATTCTTATCCCGAGGGACCTCAGGCGCCAGGTTATAGCCGACGTTAGCCAGCAACCCTCGCCCGACCCTTTCGATTCACCGATTAGGAAGTCAATAGCGCGCAGACAATCCGTGTAGATCCTGGCAGTCGTCTTCTGGAGGCTGGCTCGTGCAATCTCAGCCGCGTGTAGTATTCCCATCAACTCAGCTTGCAGAGGAGTGGAGTGTACCGGTAGTTTGAGACCAGATGCTGACCATCTTCCCGTAGGGTCTCGCCATGCTGCTGATACTGACTCCAAACTCAACATACTAGAGGTTTTGTGATGGAAGAAATGAAGCGAGAAGTCTTAAGTTATGGAAAAAATGAAAAAGTTCCATCCATTTAGAAGCTGAAGAGGTTCGATCAATATGGGGAGGTTATCAAACTAGCCACATAGCTCCGCGGGCTCTGCGCGAAAACACAGCAGCCCAGCGGACGGATCCTGCTAGTGAGCCTCCGAAAAGATGTTATCACTCGATAACCTCCTTGGAGAGATCGCTCTGAGCGTACCATCCATGAAATCGTTGATCATGAGGAGAGCCGCTTTTGGTTGGTCTTGGGGTACGAGGTGCCCTGCTAGGTATACCTGCAGGAATGGTGCTGGGATGAAATCCAGTCATCGCAACGTGGGAAAATATGCACATGGTCCACTGCATTTGTTAGTGACAAATAGTGGAAATTGTGAGAAATTTAGGGAATTATTGTTGGTCCCAGTACACTTCTACTGGA